CTGTTGAAACTGATCAGTTTCAGCAGCGGCTGAATCTGGACGCCAGTTCCTACTTACATACAGATTCAACTTAAGAACAAACCTACAGTCCCTATCTTGTACGTAACCCGGGGACTGCCTGTAGTTCTTGTTCTCTCTTCTGCCATTCTGTTTTTGCTAATCCTTGTATCTTCTGACTTCAATAGTTAAATTCTTTTGTGCACAAAGCCATATCTTCTCAGTAATGCTCTTAGCACGCTTTTGCATGCCTCACCCAATTTTGTTTATCCACTTGACTTAAGTACATAAGAACAGCCATACTGGGTCAGACCAAAGGTCCATCCAGCCCAGTATCCTGTTTTCCAACAGTGGCCGATGCCAGATTCCCCACAGGAAGTGAACAGAACCAGGTAGTCATCAAGTGATCCCTCTCCTGTCATCCATTTCCAGTTTCTGACAAACAGAGTCTAGGGACACCATTCCTACCCACTCTGGCCCTAACCTCCATGAATTTATCCAGTTCTTTTTTGAACCCTGTTAAAAGCCCTGGTCTTCACAAGTGACTTGTTAGTGTAGACCAAATGATGTTTTCCCTATTAAATAAATCATTTTTTGTGTGTGAGGATCTCTAAAGCAATGTTTAATGTTAGAGAAATCTGCTTGTCCAGTAACCTATAATATGTGATAGGAGAAACTGAGTTCTTCCCATACTCCACCATTTGTTTTCTATGTAGTTAATAATAGGGATGTAATAGGATAATCATTTACACAGTTAACCTGTAAGCCTGGGCTTATCAGTTACCGTGAACAGTTACACACAAGCTCCTGCCCTGCTCCCAGGAGCCTGCAGCGTGGGGTGGCAGCTAGCTTTCTGGGAGCAAGGAGGGAGCTGACTGCCACCTTTTGCTGCTGCCTCTGAAACTTTTCCGTGATTTGCTGAAATTTGCTGAAATTTTCAGCAGTTACCCAATTGCCTGCTTTTTAACATCCCTAATTAATAATAGTGTCTGAGTTTGATATACCAGATTTCTAGGGAAGTGTCCATCTGTTTTGAATCATCATATTCTGAAATAAATATGGGTCTGTCTATTTTTGTGACTGTGTGTTGAAAGAAGCCCGAGTAATCTAGAAATAAGACACAGATTTTTAAGTGTGAGAGTAATTACCAATTAGAACAAACTAGCAAAGGAAGTGATGGATTATCCATCTCCTGAAGTTTCAAATCAATACTGGATGCCTTTCTGGAAGATACTCTGAAATCAAACAAGTTATTTGTTTCAACACAGGAGTAGCTAGATTAAACTCTATGATGTATATTACAAGGAGATCCAAATAGGAGAACCATTAGTCCCTTCTGGCCTTAAAATCTATGAATGTATTTGGGTGGCTTGTTTTTTAAATAAGGAACCTGATGTTCTGATACTGCAAAGAGTTCAGCATAGTGCCCAATTGACTTCAGTCATTGACCTTGGGACTGCATGTAGTTCACTGAAGCATGAGCCCATAATTCTAAAAAATCACTGTTCATCCCTACAATAAGAAATCAGTGTCTGAATAGTTTATGAACTAAGAAATCACATGTACATGCAATGTAAAGGAGATAAGCACACCTTGCTAAGGGAGGGTGTGACTATGTTTTATAATGGTTAAATTATGGAATTGGATTCTCATCCTTGCTCTGCCATTAATTGACTATCTGGTGATACAGACGTTTGAAGTTTTATGGGGATTCTTATCTGTGTACAGATGGTTGATGAAATAATGAAGTGGCACTATAACAAAGACAGAGACCATTGCAATTCTAAATAGTTAAGTACGTTAAGAAATATTTGATAATTTGTGCCCTGACAAAACATTGAGTCTTTGTTTTGTCATTCATGTTAATATTGCTGTTTTTCTTTTCCTAACAGGTGAAGTACTTCTTTTGGAGTCTCTGCTGAAGCAATCCTGTTGCAATCATGGATGGTGAGATCAGCAGCTTCCTCCCCCCCCCCCCCTCTTTTACATCCAGTGCCAATAAATAAGTGTAGACAGTGCATTAATGAGTTCAGGGAATAAGGTTGTAAACTGCATTTAAACAGTGTAAAAGTAAATCACAATAATTGTTTTATGAACAGATGCTTTTGAGGTGCAGAAACTAACACTATGTCTACACCAGTATTTTTTAAAACATTTTCGTCAATCAAGGGTGTGGAAAAAACACACCCCGATTGATAAAAGTTTCACCAACAGAAGTGCTGGTGTGGACAGCACTATGTTGGTGGGAGACACGCGCCTGCTGATATAGCTATCACTGCTCATTGAGGGTGGTTTAATTATGCCAGTGTAAGAGCTCTTTCCTGCCACATAGAACGGCTACCTTACAGCGGCACAGCTATCTGCCAGCTTTCTGTGGGCCTTTGAGGGATCGCAGACTGGAAATCTACGTAATAAACCAAAGATAAATCTATGACCAAAATAATATAGAGCATACCTAACAAGAGTAGAAATCCGTCATTTCCTGTGTTTCTGCCTGTGGCTCCAGTCTATCTTTCTTGATCAACATATCTGACAATATTTGTTCCTTGCTTCGTTGTTTCTCTGTGTAATTTTTTATACACAGTGAACTTTAAAGAAATCTGTGTCAGAGACATTGTTTTATGTGAGACAAAGAGCTTGGATGCTATTCTGTATTCTATTGTTGTCTTCCTTTTTTAATAGCATTTTTGGTTGGGGGTAAAAGAAAATCAGTGCTCTTTAGTGGACAGTTTTTCTTTGTAATCAAATGTGATTGTAATATCTTGGGCATATACTGCATTTCAGTTTTCCTTTAATTGAGTTGTAGTGACCTTTGATTTGATTTGTTTGTTCTAGGTGATGATGACTTGGAGCTGTTGGCTTCCCTATTAGAAGAGAATGAGGCAGCTGAGGATAGGAATACTCCTGAAGAGACCACTGCTCACTCAGATGACACTGGAGAACCGGATGAGTATGATGAGCTGTTTGATGCAGAGGATGATGAATCCTACACCGAGGAGGTTGATGCTGAGCAGAGTGAAGTCAGTGAGGAGAAGGAAGATGCAGCTGCATTGTTTGGAGATGTGGGTGACCTGACAGAGGAGGAGGAGGAGGAGGAAGAAACTGTACAGGAAATACCCTGTTCACCAGCTCTCAATCAGGAGGAGAAAAATAATCAAGATTTGCAAGGTTTGCTAAACAGCAATTTTTGTTGTTTTTTTGTCATGCCTTCAAGCATATGTCATCTCTTTACAAGCTGTGTTGATCACAAAGGAGCTGACTGGGGCATGCCAGAGGGCTCATGGGATTGGCGAGCGGTACAGAGCCCTTCCTCTCAAGGTTTCCTGTTCAATTCCAGCCCTGTTGGGAATTGGTAGAAAGCTCTCCTGAGGAGTGTTGAGTGGACTGGCTTAAGTAAGCATATTGGCTTTAGCCCAGTTCTAAGTGTCCACATAGCAAAATTTACCATCCCAAATACCAACTTTGTCAACAGAGATACCAATGACTGAATGAGCCATGGAGGCTTAAATACCCACTCATCCCTTAAAGATGGGGGGTGGATAAAGAAGTCTTCATTCTCTAGGGCTGTCATTCTGGCACCTTTCATCAATACTAAAAAAATCATCACACACTTAAGCTTCAACAAAAGGCAGTTCATCAAACTGCTTCCTGTGTGTTGATAGATCTTTGGGGCTGCATCTGATTGGTTGCTTAAAATTTTAATCAGCATCAGAGTACCTTAAAGGAGTTGTATTGGTGCTATTGTGACTATGGTAAGTTATGGCATGAAGATGCACATAGGCTGGAATGTGATCCAATGCAGGTACTTTTGGTGTTGGTACCCAGTACTTTCACTTGATTGCTTGTATTGAGAGGAAATATTAATGCACATGGCTTAGCATCACCTACGTAGTGAAAAAATACATTTGTTAATGAGAAAATAATCTCTGGGAGGCTGTTGGAAAGTCTGTGTTCACTGTGAGCCTTAGAGAGCTTGAGCTTTGTTTTTATCATTGCTTCAGTTCCTTTTCTCTCTCCCCTTATAATTACTAAATCATGGGAATAGAGAAGTGAAGTCACTGAGCTTCCAGGAATCTTGTACATCTTAATCCATTTTGGTGTCTTGCTAGCTTCATTTTTTTTCCTCCCCTAGATGAGCTGAGGAAATTACAAGAGCAGATGAAGAAGTTACAGGAGCAGTTACAAATGACTGCAATTGGGCAGTCATCCAGCTCGGGCCCTCAGAAGAAAACCCTTGGTAATTAGGTTAAACATATTTCCCATGTGTCCACTTCCAAACTTGTATTTATAGTCAAGTCTTGGTGAACTTAGGCACTTGATGTAATTCATGGAAAGGGGCTGAGACAGCTAAAAGAATACAGACCTGGGTTCTATTCCTAGCTGCTACAAATTTGTCATCTTGGGCAAGTGACTAAATCACTTAACCTCTGTTTCCCTATCCGTAAATTGGGGATGATTCTCTACAAGGGGTTGTACTGACTCATATGCATAAACTTTTTGAGGTCCTTTGATGGAAGGTGCTACATACAATGCTGTTGGTAGGCCGTGATATGTTTTGCACAACACACCTATCAGATTGATTTATGGTGTTACTGTGAGTGATATAGCTGGGTGGTGAATGTGTTATGGATAAAAAGGAGGAGGGTCCATATTTGGGGTCAGCAAAGAGTGTTGCCAGAACTCCATCTTAATACAGCCCAATGTTTTATTTGTACCTACTGTTTTGCGACACTGGAAGATGAGCTCCTGGCTTCTACCCAGCTGTTATATTTCAAATGCAAGCTTTAGATGCTGGCAGCTATATGGAAAGGTCATAAGAATGGCCGTACTGGGTCAGACCAAAGGTCCATCTAGCCCAGTAGCCTGTCTGCCAACAGTGGCCAGCACCAGGTGCCCCAGAGAGGGTGGACCTAAGACAATGATCAAGCAATTTGTCTCCTGCCATCCCTCTCTAGCCTCTGACAAACAGAGGCCAGGGACACCATTTCTATCCCCTGGCTAATAACTTTTTATGGACCTAACCTCCATGAAATTATCTAGCTTCTCTTTAAATTCTGTTATAGTCCTAACCTTCACAGCCTCCTCTGGCAAGGAGTTCCACAGATTGACTACCCGCTCTGTGAAGAAGAACTTTCTTTTATTAGTTTTAAACGTCCTACCCATTAACTTCATTTGGTGTCCTCTAGTTCTTCTATTATGGGAATTAATAAATACCTTTTCTTTATTTGCTCTCTCCACACCACTCATGATTTTATGTACCTCTATCATATCCCCCCTCAGTCTCCTCTTTTCTAAACTGAAAAGTCCCAGTTGTTTTAACCTCTCTTCCTATGGGACCCGTTCCAAACCCCTAATCGTTTTAGTTTCCCTTTTCTGAACCCTTTCCAAGGTCTCCATGCCGATTCCTATATTTAATTTAGTTTGGCATTTGGAGCAGTTGTTATAGTGGGTGTCCAGCCACTGAGGTCTCATAAATATTCTTTGTTTCTGTTGACCAGGTAAATCATCTTGTGTTCCCTTAAAGGAAAGGAAAATTCCAAAACTCCAGGAATCACCATGTTTCTCTGCTCAGCTCAACAGCCCTGCTTTATCAACAACCAAACGGGCACCCCAGAAACCAAAACTTTCACCATCAGGTATAGGTCTTAATAATTGGGTTATAGTACAGTTAAGTTGCCTTACCACTATGCTGCTGTCTGGTAATATTAGTTTGAGTTCTTGTCTGAGAATATGAGAGTAACTGTAGATTTGAGGCACTGGCTTATTCTCTCAAAGGAAATTGCATTGCTTGAATCATTTACAACAGAACAGGAGCTAGGCCTTGAGATTCCACTACAGCACTGTTTTTTCAAAGTGGTCTGTGAAACCACTTTGAGAAACATAATAACTGGCTGCGCCGGTTTGTATATTTACCAGTGCTGCGGCCACGGAGCTTCGCCACTCCTATTGGCTGTTTCACCGTTTGCAGCCAACGGGAGCTGCGGGAAGCAGCGTGATCCAGACCACCCCTTCCTGTGGTTCCCCGCGTCTGCAGACGGTGAAATGGAGCCAATAGGAGCCACAAGGATCCGCGGCCATGGCACCAGTAAATAAACAAACCAGCGCTGCCAGATAATAGGTTTTTCAAAGTGGTTTTGCGGCCCACTTTGAGAAACACTCCACTACAGGGAACAGTCCTGTTCTGAGGAGGCAAGTTCGACTAGCTGAATTAAGTCTTTTCCATTGCTTATGTGGGTAATACGGCCTGGACGGATGTCTCTTAAGTTTAAAAAAACTGCAAGTAAATGGTCTGGTAGCACTTTATAGACTAACAAAATATGTAGATGGTATCATAAGCTTTCGTGGGCAGAGCCTACTTCTTCAGATGACCGGAGTTATGACTAGAGGATAAGAAAACTCGAAATAAATAGAAGGGAAGCCTTTCATGTTGGACATAATATTTTACTTTATTTAAAAATGAAGCCTGGCCAACAAGAACCCAGTTGGGGCCCAACCTAGGGTTGCCAGATAGTTTCAACAAAAATACTGGACACACTTGACATTACATCACAATGAACTTTACGTCTTATTTAGAAAATACCGGACATTTATATTTTCTCAATTTGTTTCCTGAACAGAAAGCTCAAATACTGGACTGTCTGGTTCAAAACCGGACACCTGGCAACTCTAGCCCAGCCCCCATCTGGCCACAGCATCATAACACTCCTGAACCTCCCTACACCAACCTTGAGTCCATCATACACTTGAATTCCCTACCCTGAGCCCCTCATATCCCTACAACCCCAGACTACTGCACCCCCAAATTCCCTTCTATTTATTTCGAGTTTTTTTTTATCCTCTAGTCATAACTCCAGTCATCTGAAGAAGTGGAATGTGCTCCCCCAAAGCTCATGATACCATCTACATGTTTTGTTAGTCTATAAAGTGCTACCACACCATTTACTTGCTGTTTTTTCTGTAACAGACTAACTTGGCTACCCCCTGAAGCTCCTTAAGTTTAAGATGCTGTATTATTTTACCGAGAATATTTGTTTTTCATTCATTATGTAGATTTTCCTTTTTCTCCCCATTCTTTATAGAAAATAAGAGCCCTCCTCCAACACCAGTATCAAGTTTGCCACTTCAACCTCTCAGGTCTACCCCTGGGAACAGGCCCAAGGTGGCCACCAGAGACTGGACTCCTCAAGTGCAAGGAGGTTCCAGTGTGACTGATCAGCCTGCCTCTGTGGAAACCTTCTCTGGACTCCGATTAAGGTCAGGGACCCAAAGCTGCTCTGGGTATCAAGGGTACATATTCAAATAGCAGGAGACATGTGATCCTTCTAATGGACTTTGATGGAGGAGGCACCTTTGGGAGATGCATCAGGCTGTCACAGCAGGGTGAAATTTCTGGTGGCTGTATTTTACAAATAGCTTTCCCATCCCAGAATGAATATTCACTGATTAGGATGGAATGTTAGTTGTCTAGAAGCAGCACTGATCAGTAGTTCAGCTGGCTTATTTTCCATTTTTGGTCCTCTTGCTGCTGTTCTCACCTGGAGTCCATTTGTAACAGTGTAGCAATCATTTTATTAGCTCTTAGAACTGTTTCTGTTGCATTATATTCAGAGGTGGTGGGGAAGCAAGGGAAACATGATGGAGCCTGATCCTCCTCTTGTCAAAATAAATGGGTGACTTGCTGTGGACTTCAGTGTGAGCAGTTCACTCCACATCAGTCCTCAGGAGCTGACTCCATATTTACAATGCTTGTTGTGACCACAAGTCTTTTAACTTGACATGGCTTTCCCCATTGGAAAGAGCAGTGGATTTCAAACCCCTCACTTATGCTTGGGCAGCAATATTGTTCAGTCTTTGTTGAGATGAACAGAATTAACCACAGATGCATGTTTATCTTGCTTTGTTGGTATTTGGACTAGGGACGTTAAAAGGGTATTTCACTAATTGTGTAGTTGATAACATTTTTATCAGCTACACAATTAATTGATAAGAAAAGGCACTCACTCCTGGTTTACGCTGGGCCTGGGAGAGACCCCTGCTGCGACTCTGAATTTTAAATGTAGTAAGAGCCAGGCGCTCTGCCCACCTGGCTCTTACTATGTTTAAATGCAGAGCCCCCATGGGGATAGGTCTCAGACCCGGCAGAAGCCAGGACTGAGCTGGGCTTGCTCATTCCTGACTTGTGCGGGGCCAACAGTCACTGTCCACGGGAAGTCCCAGCTGGGAGCTGGGACCCCTCGCAGACAGGGGCTGCTGCTGGAGCAGCCTCTGTTCACAGCCAGCCCAGGCTGCTATAGACAGGGGATGCGGAGCATCATGCCCTCCGCTGCTGCCTGTAATAGAGGCAGCAGTGGGGGGCAGGTGGCACTGGGGAGACAGTGCTATGGGAAACCTTATGCCAGATTCCCCCAGAACTGGCTCCTGCTCTCCCACTACCCCCAGCTGCCTCTAATACAGAGGCAGCAAGGGGATGGGGAAGCAACTAGTCAAGTAGTGACTCGACTACCTGATAAGTGTAGGCTTATCAGGTAGTCAGCCACTTGCTTATTTTCCTAGTTGGGGATGGGCTAGAGCAGGGACAGGGAACATTTTTGGGGAACAGCAGCCACATGCAAGTGAGAAAGAAAATAACCCCTCACAGACATTGCCCCCAACTGATAAGCTGAAAAAAAAAGATACCTTACCTCACCAAGGCTCAGGGCTTCTTCCCAAGAACTCTTCTGGAGGTCTGGGGCTAGTAGATTTTGTGGGGCCTGCTAGGTGCTGGAATGGGGCCAAAAATGAGAAGTTCAGTGTGTGGGATGGGTCTGTGGGGATTCAGGGACTGTGCAGGAGGTGGGATGGGGGTGTGGGATCAGGGCAGGTGGAAGGGGGGCAGGAACAGGGTTGGTGCAGAGTCTGGATAGGAGGGAGGATGCAGGAATGGAGCGAGCTGTGGGTGATGTATGGGATCTGGGTGGGAGGTAGGACATGGGAGTGGACTGAGAGTGGCGTGTGGGTTCTGTGTTGGGGGGGGGCTGGGGGATCTGGGCAGGAGGAAGAGGTTGGGGGGGGGTCTAGGCAGGAAGGGGTGTGTGGAAGAAGGAAGAAGGTGGGAGTGAGGTTCCTACCTGATCCAGCTCTCTGGGTGGGGGCACTTGTGGCTCTGTGTCGCCCCATGCTAGGCACTGCTCCCTCCCCCCCCACTTTTCTCATTGGCTGGGATTCCTGGCCAATAGGAGCGATGGGGGTGGAGCCTGCAAACCAGTGCCAGGGACAAAACTGCCCTGCACTGCCATTCCCAGGACAGAGCCACTTCCTCTCCCTGCCAGGCAGAACCTGTGGACTCAATGAGGCTCAGGGGTCATCCCCTCAGCTGCGGAGAGCAGGTGATAGCACTCCTCCTTCCCCGCCACCACTGCGTGACTGGAGCACCAGCGACAGCTCACCCTGCTGTGGAGGGTGGGGTGGAGCCTCGAGCCTTGCAAGCGAGATGAAAGCAGCCTGTGGGCAATAGGTTCCACGCCCTGGGTTAAAGGGTCTAATACAGGGGTGGGCAATCATTTTTAATGGGGGGCCACTTCAAGATGTTGGCAAGTCCTCAATGGCTGCATTTTTACCGAGGGAGTTTGGGGTCTGGGACAGAGGTTGGGTGCAGAAGGGAGCTTGGGGTAGGAGACTGGGGTGCAGGAAGAGGTGTGGAGTCTGACAGGGAGTTTGGGTGAAGGAGGGGGTTGTGATCTGGGGCAGAGTCCAGGAGGGAGTATGGGTGCAGAGGTTTGAGTGATGGCTTGGGGCAGGGGAATGGGGTGCAGGGTCAAGGAGGAGATATGTGTGCCAGAGAGGGTTCTGGCCTGGGGGAAGAGTGTAGGAGGGGGTGCTGAGTCTGGGAGGGAGTTGTGACCTGGGGGAAAAGGGTACAGAGAATTTGGGTGGTGGTCTAAAGAAGGCAGGGGGAGGGAAGAGAGCGGGGGTGCCAGAGGCAGGCTCTTGCTGGGAGGCACTTACCTAGGAAACTCCAGGTCAGCAACCCTGCAGGAACCTGAAGGCTGCAGTCGCAGGCTTCTCCATATGGCTCTGCTCCCTGCAGGGTGAAGGAGTGATGGGGAGGGGAGGGAAGAGGCTTCATTTGTTGCCATTGCCGCCAGCAAAATATCTGAGCTGCTATTGTTCAGAAACTGGCCAATGGAAGCTAAGAGATTTTGCTGAGGGATGGGGCACAACACAAAGCCTTCCTCCTCCCTCCCAGAATAGAGCAGCCACATTTAAAATGACTTCCACTGCGCTGTGCTTAAGGGTCCTAGCAAGTCAGCTGCGGGCCGGATCTGGTGGCTTGCAGCCTCTTGCCCACCCCTGGTGTAATAGTTCTCTCACTGTAATTTCATGAATTTAAAAGCTATTGTAGATACTCTTGGTCGCCTCCCTGTGTTGGTGCTAATGTTAGTGGTTTCTCTTTATATGTTCTTTTCTTAATGTAGAAAACCCCGTGTGTCATCAGTGGAAATGGACAGGAAAATGGCTGGACGGAAACTGGTTAGATTATCTCAGCTGCAAAGCAAACTGGCTGGGGGGAGTCTGGAGGAAACAGACTGGGTAACATTTGGAGTCATAATAAAGAAAATCACTCCTCAGAGCTCAAATAACGTAAGCAGTTTTGTTCTAGTCACAATTAAGTGAGGGTATTTTCAGTGACAGTCTAATTAGGTTTTGCACATTTTGTCAGCCAACTCCACATTCTTGTTTTAATTAAAACAAGCTACTATACTAATTGTGAATATTCTATGTAGTCTAGGTTCATTCAGTGTTGCTAATGTCTGCACTCATACAAGAACCTAAATTCATGACATAAGATTGTCAGTTACAGAATGATGTATAAATCTGCTCATTATGTTATGGTACGTGCATTCTGCAGGATTATTTCACCTTTAATATGACTTCTATTGTTATGAATTGCTAAATTCACTAGCTTGGGCCCCCAGAAGTGCAGCTACTTCTATGAAACCAAAAGTCTCCATATTAAATGCTCCTCCCGCCTCCCAAAAAAACCCCCAATTAGTTCATTCTTTATTCTTCAGATTTCAGTCACTTGGTCCCGTAGTCCCAAAAGGTGAATTCATGTGCTAGCTCATAGAATCTTGAGATAGAAAGGATCTATTAGGTCCCTGAGTTGTTTTCCTTCCAATGATTGATTATTGCCTATTGTTAGGCTTGAACAGAATTCAATTATAGTTTTGACAGATCGTAATGTTTATTTTTAAACATTTTTTTTTCAATTTTTATCCATTTAAATTTGCAGTTGTAGGAAATTATGGAGGGGACAAGCAATAACTGTTTAATTACAGTAGATGTTGAGATTCAAAAAGTTAAAGGGTTAGAACTGTTAAAATACAAATTGTCAAAATTCCATGTCAAAGTATACAAGGTACAAAGCCATAAATCAAACTGTAATCAAAGTCCCTCAAGCAGAATTTTTCTTTCTGTGCCTATTTAAATGTTGGTTATTATCATTGGAAATATTTTTTTGTTGGTTTGCATGTAAGGTGAAATAGATGTTTGTTGACATTTACCAGTTTAAAAAATTCAATGCTTCCAAGTCTTATAGATTGTGTACGTACTAGGGTTTTGCTTGATCTTGTTCTAAAAGTACCAAGTCATAGGACTTCAAACAACTCCCTTGTGATCATTCTGTAGGCTAATATTTTGTCCTGAAGAAGTTTAGTGGTTAGCTACAGAGATGAATACAAGTTCTGTGTTCTATTTCCAAGTATGTGGTCTTCTGCAAAACTCTGCCTCAATTTTATCGTCTGTAAAATGGGGTTAACCGGTACTGTACAAAGCAATTGTCAATTAATGAGAATCTGTGCAAAGTGCTGTACAGCTAGTAAGTACTGGCAACAGGAGCAAGAACAATGGTCATAGTTACACATGTTTTACCATTTATTTTTGTCAGTAAATAATGTTGCCACGGTATTTCCTGATCTATGCTAAGTATAGAGAACAAAGGCAAATAGTAACAACTTTTGTGTAGATTATTGTAAGCTTGAATAATGTCAATGGTTTTCTGTTCCAGGGCAAAACTTTCAGTATCTGGCGGCTAAACGACCTGCGTGATCTGAACAGCTGTGTTTCGTTGTTTCTATTTGGTGATGTCCACAAAGAACACTGGAAGACAGACCAAGGCATGGTCATTGGACTGCTCAATGCTAATCCCATGAAACCTAAAGATGGCTCGGATGAGGTAAGCATGGTTTTTTTCCCTCTTGGACTTGTGACTTTATTTAAGCTCTCACTGGGAAATGTTTCAAAACACTTTGTCTATTGGATGTTGTAATTCATGGTACCCTCAGAAGGAATAGTGCTTAGAAGTTCATATTCCACCCTGCTATGCATTCTATAAATATCTCCAACCTTACCATCAGGGGTCAGTACTGACAGCTCCTGACTGGTTTCCCTAGATCCCTGAACATATAATGCTGGGATTTCCTTTTTCTCACTGGACAGTAAACAGGTCATGTGTTGAGAGGTCTCTTGTCTTTCTCTCCTTTCTTTTCTTTCCTTTTCTCAATCTGAGTTTTTACCCTCTCACTCCCTTTTCCATCAGAGCCACCTGTTTAATAGTTAGTTCTCCCTGTACATGATTTATGGGCATGTAATGATATTTGACCCCTTGTCACAATGACTGCCAATGAACTTCTGAAGAAAGCCAACAGCCCTTCTAGTATAGGCTGTGCCTTGAGCTATGGTGGACAGTGGGCTATCCTGGTATAAATCTTTCAATTAAACTGAACTGGGAAAAGTGCCGACTTCCATTACTGACATACGAATCCTTCTATTTGTCCACAGAATACATACAGCACAGTGCATAGCAGTACAACCTAGTCATCCCAACATAGCAGAACTCTCTCCCCAGGATGATCATGCTGAGCTGGTGTTGTGCTGAGTTCTTCGTGAAGAGCAACTAGGCCACTTGATGGTGACTATTGTCCTGTGAACCCATGTTCGCTAGACATTGGACTGAGACCATCTACTGGCTCTTAATCTATCAATTTGCTCTTCTGTGGTAAATTACAATTGGGCACCACCAACCTAGTCAGGAGCTGAACCAATGACCTGGAGATCAAGAGCTCTGTTTCATTACCATCCTAGGACCCATTCACCCTCCTTCAAAAGTCTATTTAGTGAGCCTTGGGTTTACTCTTTGTGCTGTTTCTTTCTAGATATGTGTATCTGTTGATCACTCCCAGAAGATCTTACTTTTGGGTGAAGCTCTGGATCTGGGAACCTGCAAAGCTAAGAAGAAGAACGGTGACCCATGTACACAGATTGTTAACCTGGTATGCAACTGTTAATCTCTAGCCTGTCATTGATGTGGTGTTGTTGTGGGTCGTTGATGAAGGAATAACTGGCTGGTACCTTTGAGACAGTGCTCTGATTCTGTGCATTACTGGGTTATAAGGTATAACTAACATGTGTGCCATTACTTGTATCACTGGGCAGGCCTTCACCTGCATGCCACCTTGTGGCCTGAGGGTATTCTGCAGGTACTCTGCTGCAGTTTCCCCATTTTTCAGGGCTCTCTCAAATTGCTTCAAGTCCAGAAACATGCCTCCCTGGGACAGGATTTATTAACATTACAGAATATTCAAAATAAAAATTCTCAAATTCCCAACAAATCTTGATTCTTTTCTTCCTGCTTGAGGCCTCCCAGGCATTCCCCGCCTCTAGCCTTTTCTCTGAAACTCTGGATTCCTGGCTAGAGTCTATTTACTTCCAGCAGCCATTCCCTAGTGTCTTAGGCCTCTGCTGAAATCTTCTATGCCTAAAGACTCTAATCTCTCTCTTCCTGAACATGCCCCCTTCTCTGCCATTTTCTGTTGCTCTTTGTAGGAGAATAGCAGGACTGGAAGGGAGCTCAAGAGGTGGTCTAGTCCAGCCTGCACTCAAGACAGGACTTTATTAGCTAGACCATCCCTGATGGTGTTTGTCTAACTTCTTTACCAGCTGGTTCTAACAACTAAACCCCACATCTCATCTTAGGTATGGCAGTCAGGCTGAATAGTATGAGACTGGCTGGCTCCAGGCCTCTGGCCTTTAGGGATAGGCCACCCCATTGTAAGTGGGAAGGTCAAGGAGGAGGAAGTAAAATCTTAATCTAATCTAAATATCCTTTGTTCACCCTATGCTATGTTACTATGGAAACAAGGCCTTGACACCTCTGCAAGGGTCCCTGTGAGGGTGTGGCCCCTCTGATAATCTTCGTGTTCAGTTTTAGCCAGATACGTACACCAGCAAATGCATCTTGAAAAACCTTAGCATGCTCACAGCTCTGATGTCAAGACCATGTATCAAGGGAGAGTTTGGATGTGGGGAGTATTCTTGTTTCCACAGCATCTGAGTTGGTGGGAATTCATCCAAGCTGAGAGATCAGACAGGTGTGGGGATGAGCAGTGAGGGGAATCATCCCAGTAGCAGTGGCATTCAGAGGTACCAGAGCAGAGTCAAGCACCCCACAGGGAGGTCTAGAAGAAAAAGAGTACGGACTTAGTACAGACCCTTGAGGGATGCTAGCGGAACGGGGAAAGGTTGGAAGTGGGGGAGAAGCATTTGGAGATGGAGAAGGACATCAGTTGTGTAAGGCAGTGGTTCCCATCCTGTGGTCCGCCGACCCTTGGTGGTCCGTGACGGTACTGCAGCGGCTCTGTGGAAAGTTTAAAAATAAGGATCGGGCCCACTGTGATGGGCCCAATCCTTACTTTTCTTTTACTTTTTTTTCTCCTTCAGGGAGGGGGGTCCATTACATTTTAATAGATTGAAAAGGGGTCTGTATGCTTGGGAACCGCTGGTGTAAGGCATTTGCAACATTTGGTGCTTATACATCAAAACATGGAGATATGAGTGTGCAGCATCTTAAATGGCAACTGCATCAATAAACATCAAGTGGCAGCAATTATGAGCCATGGGGAGGATATTTCCTGGTTGCTAAACTGACTAGAGGGGGTGACTGGCTGTTTGTGCTCATTGTGCCTGCTAGCAATGTGCCAGATCTGGAGGTTATTGCTATTAGAAACCTCATGCATAGAACTATATAGAGAATGATATTATTAGGCTTTGATAACAAATTAATGAACACCATAGTTGGAGAGTGCTGTTCAGAGTTGCTTCTTTCCTCCAGACAAATTAGGGCAGTCACTGATTTTAAATCTCTGTTCTCTCCTGGGTTTATGTTGAAATATGTCTGTAAACTTTTTTTAGATGGCTGTAGGAAACATCTCATTTTAATGTTGCTTTCTCTCCCTTCATCTCTGCCTGTAAAGAGGCTATCTAAATTTGATGGTCATGGGACATCAATATGCATGCAGCCATGACTCGAGCATCTGTGAGGTCAAACCTGGGACTCTGAGAGGAATATGTAAGATATTAGTGCATGGGATTTTCTCTCCCGGTAGTGTCTGGTCCCTGCGCTATAACAGCCTTCAACCCACAGTGGTAGACCTGCCTGTGTGCGTATTAGCCAGGCTCAATACTTGGCTCATTATGTCTGTACAACCACTGCTTAGCTACAAAAAGATACTGATTTTCTCAGGAGAAATGTTATCTATTAATCTCCAGTTAGTTTTCAGTAACAGAGCAGCCTTATTTCTTTTCTTCAGAATGACTGCGAATATTGCCAGTACCACGTGCAATCCCAGTACAAGAAGCTCAGCTCAAAGCGGGCAGATTTACAGTCCACCTTCTCCAGTGGCCGTGCTCCAAAGCGGAGAGCTCGCAAAAACCCCAGCTTGAAGGAGAGGCTGTGTCAGGATGGGTTTTACTATGGAGGCGTTTCTTCAGCAGCCTATGCAGCCTCAGTGTAAGAGAAATGGCTAAATTCCCTTGCAGCTCTTGGCTCTTTGACAGAAATCCCTTCCTACTATGTGTAGGTGTGCCTGAAGTTACCTTTAAAGAGACAGGCATTCCTTTGGGTTAACTAAATTAACCAAACAGGAATCAAACTGCTCTGAGGCTTGCAGCCACACCACATTTGGCAGGGAACTTGCCTGACCATCCAAGTTACGCAGAGTCAGTGATTGGGTGGAAAACCAATTCCTGTCCTTGAGGTGGTCTTGGTGAGTTGACATGTGATTGTCTTACCTCAGAATCTGTACTGTGACAATTCTGTATAGTGAGGCTGAGGGTGCTATGCCACTGGCTTTCAAAGGAGTGGTAAAACTTGGTAAGTCTTGAGCACTCAGGGTCATTAAAGATTCCTGGGCACTTCTAACCACTGTGTTCTGGCCAAATACTAACTTGAGTAATTACAGTGTGACCTAAACAATATGCTCTCAAATAGCTATTGCTTCCCACCTGCGAGGGTAGAGGAAGTGAGCTGTATGTATCTGATCACTACTTCACACAGGTTCTGAGACTTAATTGCACCCATTCCAAATCCCAGTGAAATCAGCAATGCAAAGACTCATATTGACTTAAGTGGAAGCTAGATTATTACCAATACTTGCAAATCACTTTTAGGGACTCCTAAAAGGTAGGGATCTCCTACCTGATAATCTCATTAAATGATGTGTGTGGCTGTATATAGCAATATGTCTTTTTCTTGAGCTAATATTAACCAGGTATCAGCAAAGTCTTTGTGTCTACTTAATACTAAATGTTTATCTAAATCTGGTCACAAATAGGAAACCTAAGTCTTTGAGATACAAAAGGTTACAGCAAAATGTTCCTACTTAATAGAAATATTGTGAGGGAAGCACCTGCTCAGAGTGGAGGATTGGCAGTGCTGCTTTGGGAGGGGCGGGGTATAAGAAAAAAGGTGCCGGGTCCTCCGGGAGGAAACTTGTTGAGCCAAAAAAAAAAAGCCGCACCAGAGGCCAAAATGTCGTGGCCCCTTTAAGAGCTGCATGTCCCGAGCGGACTTCCGTCAGGGGAGCCCAGCCGCCCCAGGAAAAGAGGTACCGGTACACCTAAGGGGAATGCAATTCATTTAAGTTATGCAGGGAAAATAGGTGCTGGTACACCATCCCGGGACATACCATCACAAAAAAAGCATTGATAGTTGGTAATTGCAGCATTGCTGAGTTGGTTCTCAAATTCCAGTCCTTCTCTTTATCTTACACTGCTTTCCACCTTGGAGCAACACTCATTTTTGGTGGGATTTGTCTTTATAGTGCAGCAGCTGCAGCCCCAAAGAAGAAGATACAAACCACTCTCAAGAATCTGGTGGTAAAAGGAACAGACGCAATTGTGCAGGAAACTAGAGAGAAAATGGGTAACTTTCTTTTTTCCCATCACATGTGTTCAGCCTGTAGTGCGACATGTCTGTGCGACCATTCTGTGTGAACTCGTTTAGTGTCTCTGGGAAATTGTGTAGTTACAAAGACAGCCAGTCTCAGTTCACTTCCCCAGATGATCTAAACTCCTCCCCCGGTATTAAAGCTGCAGGGAATAAGTGCACCGAGAATGCCCAGCTCTCTTTAGCATGTACTTAGTACCCTCTTTATTACACAGCCTCCTGCACTGTTCACACATAACTCTGGGATAGAAAATTACTGGCCAAAGTCTAAATCTTACTTCATCCAGTCCATGAAAAGTTACTGCTAGACTGAGGGAGCAGTGGCAGTTCTAAGATCTCCAGTTGTGAATCACTGGGCTGAACACAAACAACTTGAGCCATTGGAAATAGGGTGTTCACGATATCTGGGGATGAGTATGCCCCAAAGAGAAAGGCATGCCGGAGCAGTTCTAGCACAGTCCTGGGAGGTTGGGAACTTCAGAGCAGGGATGTAAAAAAGTAGTCGAATATCTGACTATCCAATAAGCCTAGTTTGACTACTTACATTCTCCCCCCTTTCTGCCTCTATATCAGAGGCAGCAAGTGGGGGGGAGCAGGAGCTAGCTTAAAAACCGGTTCCCCCCCTCCTACCTTCGCACCCCCAGCAGTGTCTCTGCAGTGCAGAGCAGGTGATGGGAGGCAGAGGTGCAATGGGGAACCCAGCACCTCCCCTCCCTTATTGACTAATCGAGTAGTCGATGGAAATTCCATCGACTACTCGATTAGCTGATTAATCAAAATTTAGCATCCCTACTTCAAAGCACTAATCTTGGCTCTGACACATTTCTTCCAAGTCATTGAGCAAGTCACTTAACCTCTCTGCCTTCGTTTCCCTTTATATAGATAGGAGAGCCCTTGTTGGGCCTCCCAGGGGGGAGAACACATTAAAGATAGTGAAGTACCAAAGATAAATAGGTGGGATGTTCAGAAGCTAGTTCGTGAACTCTGTTAAGGTGAGAGCACTAAGTTAGAACTGAATAGCAGTGCTTTTGTTAGAAATGTCTCGTGCAATAAGTGTGAGTGCTGGAGCCAGATCTACATTTCCCATCCTGGTTCTGAGTCTGTTGGGTTTTTTTGTGCACTGCTCCAGGTATGGCAAAGAGAACCAGGCCGTGTTCTGATGAGTTCAAAGAATTGTTGGCAATGCCAACATTTGGAGCACGAAACCTCTGCAAACACTTGGCCAAAGCAGATGCAGCAGGTATGTCCAGATACTCCCGTGATACTTTCCTTTGCGGACACTCCTTTGCAGCCAAGGCTTGTTCCTTGCAAGTCTCAGTGTCTGTATATTTATTTCAGGTGCTGGAGGGAAGCAAGGACCTGCTTTCCAGTCCATCTCTGCTTCGGCACTGCTCAAACAACAGAAGCAGCAAATGTTGGAGGCCAGAAAAAAACGATCAGAAGATATACAGAGGCGGTAAAACACTCTAGCATCTGCTGATGTTTTGCAGGCAGACTGTTCTGTAGGGTGGGAGGATTTAAGTTTTATAAAACCTAATCAAACTAGGAATATCATGAAGTTATTTCAGTGAGCAGTCAACACCCCAGCATTGTGCCTGAGAACCAAAGGCCTTTCATTGAACAATGGCTTCTAACCTGTCTTCCAAATTCAGTTGTACTATTTTCAAGCTTTTTGATTTGCCAGGAAGTCCTAACTATATATCAATGTGTTTGTCCTCTTTAAGGTTTCTTCAGAGTACAACTAAAGCCAATAGCTCAGCACTACCATCCTTCTCAGGACTCCGCTCTCCAACCCCAGGGACTGAATTTCCCAAAGCTGCAACCCCTCAAACACCCAGGCTGGGGATGGGCTTCTCTGAGGATGAAGACGTCCTCTTCTTTGATGTATCTCCCCCTCCACCACCGAAATTGAATGGCTTAGCTGAAGCTAAAAAGGTAACAATCCCTTTGCACTGGTAGACTTTGAACTTCGGACATAGGTCATGTTGCAGCATGCAGCCTTGACTCCTGAGATCAACCTGTTAAGCACACTTGTGCCTCATTGTAAGCTTTTAATTCCTATTAGCTGTTAGTGTCCAAGAGACATGCTTAGTTTGTCAGTCCATGTACTGGGTGCTTAGGCCTATCCACACCGAGGGACCACAGGCTTTCACTTAAAGCTCCTATCATGCCCCGTACAAAAATGTTCAGAGACAAACCAAGAACATCTGCAGTAGCTCCTCAAAAGGCAAGAGTGATCCGTACTCTTTACTAGAGCCTTTTTTTCTATTTTGAGAGATGTTTTGAGTTTTAAGTGCCTCAGAATGTTATGAAACCATCACTCTTGATCATTTTATTATAATTTATATGTGATAATCTTTTGTGGCTGGGTCCTTGGCCTCAGTCAGTTAATATCCTAGTGAAGTCATTGGAATGCTAGGGTGTACTTTGTACATTCAGCAGCATAGTGAGTGTAATGTAATCTGTATTTTACCATCCTCGCTGTCATAAGCTTTAGTAGTCTGGTTCCCAGCTAGCAGAGAATAGGTACATCTTTCTTTTGCAAATATTTAGCTTCCAATCTATCAGAGAAAATCAACTGCTTGCTAGTGAGGTAGATGAGAGAAGCCTAACATTTTTGGATAGGGTTGGAGAGTTATCTGCAAGTTTCGTTTAGTTCCCAGTTATTAGTGATTTATACAGAAATTTCCAGAGATGATTGCTTGCTGCTTTGAAAACTCAATTTTTCTTTGTTCCAGAGCCTTTCTGTCTTGTGTAGCATCTTCATGCCAGTGAGAATTATCAGCCTCAATTTACAGGCTGGGAAGCTGAGTCAGAGGTTGGGTGATTGGCAAAGGCTGCCTTACTAGGAAATGGCAGAGTTGGGATTACAATTTGGATGGGATGCCCACGCTATGCCACCTCTTCCAGCTGACATATTCCCAACAGCCTTGGAATTAGGAATGTGTGACCTTGGATATTCGTTTTCAACTTTAACATTTAGTTCCCATTTTCTAGTTGGCTGCTATACACAAATTGCGAGCAAAAGGCCAAATTCTCAATAAAACCAACCCAAACAGTGTTAAACGGAAACGAACTGATCTTGTGGATGTTCTGGAGATCACAGAGAGAGTTGAGAAAAACACCACCTCGTCACAAGGTATGAAAGTACGGAACTGACTTTAAAAAATGAGTGCATTGTACATCATGCTACCCTCCTCCAAGCATCACAAAAGTTCCTTTGTGACTAATATCACAAACTGTGCCAAAGAGATACAGAACTAAAATGGGGTTTGAACCTAACTTAAAAGGGCCTAATGCCACAATTGATCTAGTTACAAAGGTCGAATATCCTGCTGCTTTAGAGACAGACCCTAAAGCTCTAGGCTTTAATAGCTCCAGCCTCATATATTTGTCATCTATGGCTCCCATCAGCATAGTACCTTAACAGCTCCCAAGCATTTATGAATATATCATCCTAACACCCCCATGACGCAGGGAAGTCTGAGCTCAGATTTACAGATAGGTAAATCCTTTAGTCTCAGTTCCCTAACGTGCAATCTAAATAAAAGTAAAACTGCAAATAACTGGGCTTTTGTATAAAAGCAGTGCTCTCTTCTGAGTTTGGTTTGCTCATTTTGCCTTATATGGAACAGTAGCTCAGTTATTTCCCTTTTTATTTAGATAGTGGAAATTCCAGTCAGAATGGGCATTTAAAATAGGTATTGCTATTATCTTTCCAGTTGTCCTGCTGTTGCATTATAAAATATGGCTGAAATGGTACTGGATCACTATCTTTAAATAGTCACCATTATATTGGGTTTAATCGGTCAGTGATCATGCCCAGATTTTTTTAAAAAAAAACAGGATGCATGCTATGGGTTTTTCAGCTGTTGGAAGGCATAGAAACATACAATTTATAATTCTTTTAATCTTTAACATAGTCATGAGCTCTAGTTATGATTTTTTTTTAATGTGCATTACATTACTTAGTACTTCTGAATTGTATATGATGAGAGAATCTGAGAGCACCGTAGATACATCAGCCTATTTATTCATGAGCATATAAAGTATGTTTCGATCATTGGCTGGAAGATATTCTAGCAGAGCAAAGCATCATATAATGCCTCCTGGTCATCCTATGAGAGAGTCTCCCCATTTCCCTGAAGTGTGCTCTGCTCCATTTGTCACAATAGATTGTTAACGTTGGAATCGAGATAACACTATAGGGTGGAATTTCCAGTTGTGTGCAACTTCAGTATAAGCAGAACTCCCACAGACTCTGAGGGGCTTCTTTTCCTAAATCTCCTAATCCCACCCTAAAATGTTCTCCTTGGTTTTCAGAATTAACAGTCCATCATGATGAAGGAGGTAGTATACAAGTCTTTTTGAAAGGCAATGGGACTTGTGCTCCTAAGTCAGTTAGGCATTATTGAAAATTCCACTTGTAAAATGTCAATATTGCTGACTATTTCATTGTTGATCACTTGAGCAGAAATATACCCTGCTGTCTTAGGGTATGTCTACCCTAAGCAGTTCGAGCGAGGGATGCAAATGCAGCCATTCGAAATAGTCAGTGAAGCGGAGATTTAAATATCCTGCACTTCATTAGCATGATCTCACTGGCGCGTTACTCAGATCAACAGCTGTTTCGAAAGTGAAAGTGCACGCCGGGATGCGTTAGCTTGAACCAAACCCCTTGGTTTGAACTAACGTTACTCCTCATTTTTTATAGTGGTTGCAGGCTAGCCCTGGTAGGAGTGGGCCTTTGGCGGAAGGAGCATGCCCCAGGCTGGGGGGAGACTTTGAGCACTCCCCCATGGGGCAGGGGAGCATGCAAGGTGTCTCTCCTCTTCACCAGGGGCACCTGGCACGCAGAGGGAACAGCTGATGGTTCCTTCTAGTGCCGCATGCCCCTGGTGGGTGGAAGAGACTTTGTGTGCTCTTCCATCCCTGGTTTTCCATTGAGCGGGGGTGTGGCAGGGCAGGCTGCTGGCTGGATCAAATGGTGTGGCGGACCAGATCAGAGGATTTCTCGTGACTTCTTCAGTCTCGTGTGTCTAAGGAAAGTGCTCAGATTGGTTCCAGCTGCCGAAACCTTCATCTTTCTGTTGTCCCCTCCTCCTACTCTCCCCGAACAATTTCCCAATGCTGCTTGTCGTCAGCAGTGCAGCATATTGCAGATATGAGCTTACCCTAAACTGACTATCCCAGTAGGTTTTACGGGCTCTCTTGTCGTGATTAATCCTTTGTAGTTAATTGGTTACCAACCTCTATGAGGCTGCCGCAGAATTTCTGGTCTGCTGCATTGGTGGTGTGGCAGAATCCAGGAATAATGCTGCAGAATTTAGGTCCAGCTTGATACAGAATAGACTGGGCTTTGACCCTGCTCTGGCAAGGAATCTCACTGTTTGTCTTCCAGGCCTGTTGGTCTTCCATTGCCTCAAGGTATTTATGGTATTTTGAAATTGGATTCTTGGCTAAATCTCACCAAGGAAAGTATTTTAGTGGCTACAGCAGGGGTGGGCAAGAGATGGTTAGTGGGCCGAATCCCAAACTGTCAGATCTGGCCCGCAGCTGCCTCACCATCACCCTTAATATACAGCAGCACAGCCGCTTTAAACAGCATGCTGCTAATTGCTGTGCTGTCTGGTCAGGGAGGAGAAAGCTTCATGCGCTGTCCCTGCCCACTAACAAAATCCTCCAGCTCCCGTTGGCCAGTTTCCGGCTAATAGGAACTGAGAAATTTTGCTGAAGGCAGGGGCCGTGAATGAAGCCTCCTCCCTTTCTTTCCCTCCACCCCCTCCGTGCTGGAAGAGAGCCACATGGAGCAGCTGCCCAGCACACAGGCAGGGAGTCTGCAGAGATGCTGGCTGGGGGCCACCTAGGTAAGCCGGAACCTGCCTCTGGTACTCCACCCCCTCTCTCCTCCCCAACTACCAGCCCCAGGCCACCACCCAAACCCTCTGTATCCCCTCTCCCCACCTCCTCCAGGTCACAAGCCTTCCCAGACCCTGCACCCCTCCCACATCTCTTCTCCAGGCCAGAATCCTCTCCTGCATCCATGACCCCTCCTGGTCTCTTCACCCCAAGCCCCTGCCCCAGATCATAACCCCCTCCTTCACCGAAACTCCCTCTCAGACCTCACACTTCCTCCTGCACCCCAGGCCCCTATCCCAAGCTCCCTTCTAAACCCCACCTGCTGTCCCAGACCCCTGCATTCCCTTTACAGACATGTGCCCCTTGCCCACTTACCAAAATCTTAAAGTGGCCCCCATTAAAAATTATTGCCCACCCCTGGGCTATAGTGTGAGAGCGATTCCTAACTTCTCATTCCAGCTGTGCTGCTGACTTAGTGTATGAGCTCTAGTAAGTCACATAAACCTCCAGCTGAGTTTTCCCCTCTGTACAATGGGAATAATACCAATCTCATAAAAGTGTTGTGAAACTAATTGTTTGTAAGTAACATTTTATTTTCTGCTGTGACTTGATTAGAGATCGGTCTAAGGTCTGTAGCTACTGCACTGATGACACATCCTAGGGTACGTCTAGACTACATGCCTCTGGCGACAGAGGCATGTAGATTAGGCTACCCGACAGAGTAAAATGAAGCGGCGATTTAAATAATCGCAGCTTCATTTAAATTTACATGGCTGCCGCGTTGAGCCGACAAACAGCTGATCAGCTGTTTGTCGGCTCAGCGCGATAGTCTGGACGCTCCCCTAGTCTCACTCATGTCTCCTCTACAAAATGTTATTTCATACACATTGAGACATTACAAGTGCTTGCTGTTTGTAAAGGAGAAAAGGGTGGTTGTGCTTAGAAAGCAGAGCAGGATTTCAAATGTACCCAGTGGCATGAACCTTTCTTGTTTGTCTAGCTGCAGATGAACTAGAACCTGCCCAAAAGAAACAACGAGAACAGCTGGCATATCTGGAGTCTGAAGAGTTCCAGAAAATCCTGAATGCCAAGTCCAGGCACGTGGGTGCCCTTAAGGAGGTAAGTGCTTTGTGCACACACTTGCAATGAGAATTATAGTTCAGGATAGTTACAAGTAAGGTCCAAACCAAGATGTTGTGCACACAAGCTTTTACAAAATACATGCTGAATAGAAAGGTTTCTATAATTTAATAATTCCAGTGAAATCTGTTTGTTTGGATTTGCACATTCCCTTATAGACACTGTAGCATTGTGTTGTTACTCCTGGGGGCATTCTGTGCTACTGCCCAATGCAGAGTTTGTGTGGAACTTAATGTTCTGCCCAGAATTTCTCTCCCCCTGCTCTTCAAAAAGTGTTGCAAAGCTGCTGGCCACCAGTAGAGGCCACTTAACCCCCCAGAGCCCAGTTCACATATAGTAGACACTGGGGAACGGGGAGAAGGCTAGAGGGATTCTGGCAACAACAGTTCCTGGCTGAAGGAGGGAGGCAGCGTGCAGGAAAGGACCCTTCATTAAGCTGTTTCTCCCTCAGGATTCCTGGATTCTGGTGGAGATGGGGTACAAGTGTCTGGGCTGAGGGAGGGCTCTAGGGGAAAAGGGGTGCAAATGTCTGGGCTGGGAGGTGCCTCGGGGCTGGGCTCAGTGGGGGGGATGAGGGTGTTTAGAGTAGGATGCTCATGGCTGGGAGGTAGGGGGTGTAAGTAGGCCTCAGTGGGTGGTCAGCTGGGCACTGGGGAAAAGGGGGGGTGCAAGTTCCTGTGCTGGTGGGGTGGGGCCTGCAGCTGGTTTCTTTAGAGAGAGGGGGTATGTGTATCTGGGCTTGGGAGAGTATGGAGGGCATTTGAATCTCTGTAGGTGACCACCCAAGCACTCAGCTTACAGGGAACACTAGTCACATTGCTGTAAATATGCTAAGAATTATAACCACTTTTCATGTGAGGGGCTCAGAATGCTTTATTATAATTTAAAATCAACGTATTTACAAAATAGAATATCTTTGTATTTGTTTTGTAAAATTGACATCGGTTCTAAACTCCAGTTTAGTTGCGATATGAACTGACAAGTCCTGAATTTTAAGTGTCAGAGGGGTTGCCATGTCAGCCTGTATCTGTACAAATAATGAGGAGTCTTGTGGCACCTTAAAAAACTAAGCTCTTCGTCTTTAAGGTGCCACAGGCCTCCTTGCCGTTTTTACAGATTTTTAATGTGTTGTTATTGGCTAGTTACTGCTGTGGCACCTGATAAAAGCTTTGTGAATAGCATTCTCATTTCCCTTTGTCACAAGCACAATCTTGCTGACTATAGTGTGCCCCCAAGGAGCATACACACGTAGATCCACCTTGAAATGCAGCTCTGCTCTGAGAAGTGACTAAACCAGCGCATTATTATACAGGACAGATCCACTGAGGCTAGGGATGTAGAGATTTTTTTTTTTTTTTTTTTAATACTAACCATGTAACTGATAAAAAGAAGGTACACGGTTAATTGCTCCCTGCCCCATGGGGTTGCTGGCAAGTATAGCAGCTTATCGATTAACTGGTTAAACCCTTACACTTCTAGTTGAGGCAGCCATTGGAACATTCCATCATGGACCTGCTCCAGTATGGCCTACACATTGTGGGTCAGGGGCAAAGTTCCTGTGCCTGCAGTGCCAGCAGAGATTATTGTGAGTGTGAAGCAGAAGGGCTACTGTGACCACCGTGCAGTATGCACTGGTTCAGTCTCAGCAGTGCGGATTGCGATTGTGATCCTCTGGTGTGGCTGACAAGGTTTTTGCGAGTCCAGGCTGACTTTGTAAAGCTTCATCTCTATTCTGCAACTGTTGTAAATTTGGAATATCCCCGCTGACCTTGGGGTCTCCACTGCATCTGAAGCTGTAACTTCCAGCTCAGATAGACTTTCCCACTAGCTTTGATCCGGTTGGCATACAGGATTTGACCCACTGCTTGTTATGTCACCACAGAATGGATCAGATTTGATCTGAAGTCACAGCCTTGAAATACCAAAGCCCTACTAGTTCCTGGTCCAGGGCATTTATACCTTCTCAGTCTCAGTCACTATTTCCCTCTGCGCACACCTCTGCAGTTGGTGTTAAATTAGCTGCCATCTAGCAGCCCGTCTGTCCCCACCTCCGTGACACGTGCTCTGTACTAATAGAGCCTCAACTTGTGGCTCTCCTCCAGTCTGTCTCGCTCCTCACACACACTCATCCTTGGGGCCTCCATGATCCCACTCTCTAGAAGCCATATGGGGATTGAGGTTGCTCTGGAATGTTAGTTCTCCCTGCCAGTTGTCCACTTCAGGAGACCGAGTCATGGGCTGAGACCCCATTATGCTACGCTGGACAAACACCGAACAACAGGACAGTTTCTGTCCCACAGAGCTTGCTATCTGACCAGTTGTTTACAGTGGGCCGGCTATTCTGAAGAGTCATATCTAAGGAGTCATTCACCTCTCCAGAAAATGGGCGCACGTCTATTTCCTTCCACTTTTGTACTGTACCCATGGCCTCAGGGGTGGATATTCAAACGGATGATTGTAACCTCTAGTCCAAGCCTTTGAATAAAATGCAGGCGGCGGTACTGGCAGTCCAGTAGATGGTGCTCTTTCCTCTGAGTCAGTGCAATAACAGTGCCCTAGAATGGTGTGAGGGACTCTGTGCAGCTGGAGATGAGATGTGTCTACCTGCTAGGGATGTTAGATAGCATGTAATTGAATAGTCTTGTAATCACGACTAATAGATAGCCCCTGGGGGCGGGGCCAGCAGCCACTGTCCTCCTGGCTCCACTCCTGGAGAGCACTGGTCTGCAAGGGAAGCCCTTTTAAAAACCAGCTTCCCATGCTGACCAGCTCTTGCTTGCTGCCCCATGCTGCTGCCTCTGATACAGAGGCAGCACCACAGGGAGATAGCAGCCTTTGTCCACGGGGTGCCCAAGCTGGGCACTGGGGGGAGGGGAGTGGAGGGACAGGCAGCTCTATGGAGCCAGTGGTCGGGGGAAGCCAGCTTTTAAGCCATCTCCCCCTGAGCACCGGCTCTTGCCTGCCCCCCACTGCCACTGTAGGAGGCAGCGGGGAGTGGGCGGGGGCAGATGGGACCACAGAGCCAGCATACACAGAGAGCTGGCTTATAAACTGGTTTCTCACACATAACAGCTCCCACCTGCCCCCCTCACCCTCCATGATGCTACCTCTCTATCAGAAGCAGCGGGGGGGGGGCAAATCTGGTGCTTGTGGGGAGCCCATTTAAAAGGCTCCCCTCCCCCGCTGCCTTAGATACAGAGGAAGCAAGCGGGGGAATGTGCGTAGTCAACAGGATTAACCAAAAAGCCTCTTCATAGGACTCTGAATGCTGACTATGGTGGTCTCAGTTCAAGTTATTCCATAAGCCTCCCTGCCCCTTACACTTCAGTGCTGTGGTGAGGACTGTACCCAAGTCAGGTGTTAGCTGTTAAACAGCATCTGAGATCTACCTAGGAGCTGGCTGCATTTCAGTAGTGGTTGAAAAGTGGTATGCGAGTTCTACACTCTACTTTGTCAAGCAAGGAACGCACATGATGGATTATTCAGCATTCTGAATATTCATCTGTCTTTCAGAGAGTTCAGTCTCTCTAAGGCAGTATGTCGCATTCCGGACTAACCCGCTAGAGGTAGAGCTGCTTGCAATGTTTCTAGGTGTGCGTTGTGCCTATTAGACAACAGTGCCTCTCTTGTGCTGTGGCAGGCTGAGGCTGAGCAGCAGGAACTCTACTTTGAACCTCTGGTGAAAAAAGAGCAACTGGAAGAGCAGATGAAGAACATTAAAGAATTGAAATGTCGGGTTGTGACGTGTAAAACGGTGAGTGACACTGGCGCAGGCAGGTTCGTGGAGCACATTGACTGGTTTGAAGTGGATTTGTGAGGCGTTTAGCTTCTGTCTCTGCTGCGACCTACATTGGTGATTAGAAAGAAAGCAACTTGAGCTTTAAGAATGGTCTTGATACCAGCTGGAGCAGAGAGTGATATGAAAGGAGTTAGAGCTTTGGTGAAACAGATGGTACTATTGCATTTGAGATTTCCAGAAGCAAAGATAAGTGCCCCTATGCATGCCAGTCTGTAAATCACTATCAGCAGCTGGTTGCCAGGTTTCACTTAGGTCAGACTTGAGAGACTGAAATGGTGTACTAGAATCTGGAGTCATCTAGGACTGGGTGAAGAATGTGCTCAGGTGCCTTGAATTGTAGCAGAAGGCATCCTAGCTACTGGTTCTTTAATCATTTAAAATGCCATTGGGAAGGAGGAAGTTTCTTCCTGCCTCAATACCTTGAACTGCTTACATACTGCCCTGTTGCAGCATCTCCTATCTGCCAATAGTTCCACAGAAGGCTATTTGTACTGGGCCTTTTGCTGGGTTTGGGGCCAAACCCAACAAAAGGTAGTAGTGAAGAAGGTGAAGGGGCAGAATGGGAAGAGTCCAGGGCCAGTGATATTACCAAGCTGGCTGTCCTCTCTGAGCATGAAAGAACAGGAGTGGGGGATGGAAGTGGGGCATTTTTCTGAGTGTCCTAAATGAATACTCATTTCTCAGCTGAATAACTCCCTTATAATGTCTCTGCTTCCCTTATGGTCTCCTCTTTTCTCTCTTCCGTCTCTCCATGCAGTGTAAATACACCTATTTCAAGCTCTTAGAGACATGTGTGAAGGAGAATCATGACTATCACTGGCATGATGGTGTCAAGCGATTCTTCAAGTGTCCTTGTGGAAACAGAGCCTTATCTCTTGACAGACTACCAAAAAAGCCCTGCAGGTAAAGGGGCTCTCCTGGCATATATTGGCGGGTGCAGTTGCACCAGGCAATAGTCTGAGTATACTTTATTGTGTGCTAATGCCTCAAACTCACTCCTGCTGATAAGCATTATGGGAGGGATTTGTGTTATTTATAGATCCTCTGTATAGGGCACCAAACTAACTCCAAATCTAAGGCCAAGTTTACACTACAAACATATCAGCTTAACTATATGGCACAGGGATGTGAAAAAACTATAAGCAAGTAAGTTATACCGACCTAACTGTTGTGCCCTCACTCCCCTCACCGCTGCTAGACAGCACTGGATTGGTGGGAGGGCTGCTCCTGTCAACATAAATGCTGCCTTTCTTGGGGGAAGATTAATTATGCTGATTGGAGACACTCCTGTCAGCGTAGTAAGTGCTTTTATAAAACCGCTGCGGCTGTGCAGCTGGAGCACCCTACGTGAAGACAAGCCCTAACGCTTCCTCTTCCTCTTCCAGTATCTGTGGCCTCTTCAAATGGGAACGTGATGGAATGCTCAAGGTAAGCTCAGGCCAAAGCTTTCTGTGGCACAGTGGGGACTGGGCTGCTTCCGTTAGTGGACTTTCCCAAGCTTTGTCCTGGTGTTAATATGAGCTGTCTGAGGTGACAGCCTCTCTCTTTAAAAATTAGCCCTGACTAGTCAGGGCCCAAAACACCCTAGTCTGCGGTAAGTTTCTGTAGTGGAATGATGTAGAGACTGGCTTGAATGTAAAAGGCCTGTGCTGGCACTATACTCCCCCTTGTGGCTCGGTACGATGCTGCAGATGTGCCTCGCCTTTCTCCGATGGTCCTCTGTAAATTACTGGGTCTGGGGAAGCCAAATACACACTAACAAAATGGAAGGAGCAGTTGTTACAGCAGATCACATGGCCTATCTCAGGATGCAGGCTCAGCTCCCAAACTACAAGTCCACAAAGCAGTTTCTAAGCCAGGTCAAGCTGGTCCCCTGGATCCGGAAAGAAAGAGAGAGGGACCACCCCCCATTGTAGTCTACAATGTTTGTAGTTCCCTTATGGCTGTTTAGCTTCCTCATCCCATTTAACGAGGCCAGCCAAAGGGCAAGCCCCCTGATTACACCCAAACTGCTTTGCTTGTTAGTGCCTGGGTGCTCCTTCTATAGGTGGTAAGTTCCACATAGGAATGGGCAAACTGTGGCCCATTGAGGTTCTATGTGTGGCACAAAAGACATTTTATGTACCATTGTCCATGCACAGAGTTGCCAGAATCCACTTGTTCCCATCCACATATTTTTTTCTATCGGTATTACTAAAGTGATATGCACATAAAAAAGGGCACATGAAGTGAGGTATGTGCTAATTGCACACAACATTGACTGGAAGAGCCATGCATGTCCTCTGCACGCAATCAAAGCAATGCTACAGGTCAGTCAGCACACAATGCAAATTTTAGGTACGCAAGCACAATTAGCAAAACTCTTATCCCGGGAGACATTCTTGGTTATGGCAATATTGCAGATCACTGAGATGTAGGGCTAGTCATGGCCCACTCACTAGCTTAGGTTGCTCATCACTGGCATAGACACGCAAATGTACTGTAATGATTTTGTTCTTCAGAGATGTAATTTAAATGGGCGGTATTCAACCTTTTGTCTTTGCAAAGCCCGGAAACATGTTGACTAGGGGTGCAGCTCCCTCTAGAAATTTAACCTGTGATCTGTGGACTCCTACCACAATAGCTCTAAACTGAAAACCGATTGAACAGAATTCAGCTACAAATGTTGCAAGCGCTCTGCACGGCATTTAGTAGAATGTCAGAAAGGGCGCTAAACGGTGGGCTTCTATGGTAGCAACAATGCTTCCAGGTTTTGACCTGTAGGTGGAGGTATTCCCATACTTTTGACCTTTTCCGAAACTTTATTTTTGTAGTCACCTTTCTTGGATCCCTTAGACAGTGGACCCCTCAGGATCTATGGACCATGGATTGAAAAGCACTGACTTACACCAACAAAGCCAGGGAATTCCAGGCTCAAAAAAAAGCAAGGAGAATGTTAACTGAACAGTTTCCCTTTAATGTGCCCAATTGTTATTAGGCATTGAACTGTGTGGCTGCGTCTAGACTGGCAAGTTTTTCCGCAAAAGCAGCTGCTTTTGTGGGAAAACTTGCCAGCTGTCTACACTAGCCGCTTGAATTTGCTCAAGAACACTGACGATCTAATGTAAGATTGTCAGTGTTCTTGTGCAAATACTATGCTGCTCCCACTCGGGAAAAAGCCCTCTTGCGCAAATGCTTTTGTGCAAGAGGGTCAGTGTAGACAGTTAAAAACTGTTTTGCGCAAAAAAGCCCCAATGGCGAAAATGGCGATTGGGGCTTTCTTGTGCAAAACCGCGTCTAGATTGGCACGGGTGCTTTTCTGCAAAAAGTGCTTTTATGCAAAAGCGTCCGGGCCAATCTAAACACTCTGTTCCGCAAATGCTTTTAACGGAAAAACTTTTCTGTTAAAAGCATTTGCGGAAAATCATGCCAGTCTAGACGTAGCCTGCATGTATAGAATTATGGTAGTGGATTATCAAGCCTCTGCTTTTATACCTCAGTATTTTAAGTTTCCATATTTATTGGCATCCTTAGTTTTATTCTGTGCTTTTGTGTGGGTGGCATGGAGGGTGGTTGCATTAGCAGGATTGTCTGTAGGAACTCTTGAAACGTTGTCATTTTTTTTGAGTTTTGTAAATACTTACTCAGATAATGTAGCCCACACGTGACTCCTTTGGTGCTATATTGCAGCTGGCTTAGCTTGGATTTAAATCTTCGCTTGTATGTTAATATTTCTAGGAGAAGAAAGGTCCGAAGATTGGTGGAGAAACACTTTTGCCAAGAGGAGAAGAGCAACCCAAATTTCTTAATAGCCTGAAGTGATCCACAGTGATTTTTACAACAAACCCCTCATTTTTTTGTCTCCGAATGAATCACTTGTTTCTCAGAAAGCAATTGGATGCTGGGTTTCACAACAAACAAGCAGGGAATCGATTTCTTGGGACGAGGTCCTCCCATAATCTTTCCTCCAATGTATGGATTGGAATGTCCAGCTTTGAACTTCTTAATTGATTGAAGAAACCTCATGTGAATTTCTTGTTCATGCCCATTCATTCTTAGGAACTTGCTGTTGACAGTATTTAATTTAGGGAAGAGACTCCTAGTATCATGGAATCTGAACCCAGAAGTGGTTTCTTCTGGATCTTGAAGCATCTATAGAACACTTCATTGGAACAACTCCACTAGACTTATAAGATATACTCATCTTGGAGGGATCTATGAAACAGTAGCATGTCTGTGGTTCATAGAGTGGAAATCAACAAGGCAAATTTCAAGCCGTTTCTTCATGTGTAAAGTTTACAAAACTACCTCAGTGGCAGAGGCACTTGACTGTAAGCCATTTAGACACTTTTGAAAGTGGCATCCCTGCTCTCAGGCTGATTTCACCATGTGCATCCCGGCTGCCTGAAGTTGTCACTTTTGTGTTGGCAACATGCTATTGTTACAGCTGCAGACCCAGAATGTACCATTTATAAAGTGGTATTTACATTTTTAATGAGTCTGCCAATATTTTATCAGTGGCTTTAATGAGCAGACAAATGACAGATTGTTTTAGATAGCTTTTAACCCTTTCTCTAGCATTTTAATATCCTTTTAAATGGATACAAAAACCACAGTCCTTAAGATCCAGTAAGTTCTGAATGTGTGAAGTAGCCCTTTGAAATATTAGCTGCTTTGCATTGAGCTGCATTGGCCCCGACTTCCAAATCTCCTACAGAGTTTCCCTAGAATACTGTCTGGGCTTGGAAAACATTACCCTGCTTGACAGTCTCCCTAGAAGCAGCCTTGGTTTGTGGCATTAGGGTCCTGAATATATTTGTAGATGTTCACACCAAATTCCCACAGACCAAACTGAAGTTTGGTTTACACTTAAGTTATGTCAGCATAGTTCATTGGTCAGGGATATAAACAAACCATTCCCAGACCAATATGTTTGGGGAGGTGGTCCAACACCAACAAAAAATGCATTGATGTAAGAGCTGCCTCTATGCTAGAGGCAATACTGATAAACTTATGCCAACATAGATGAGGTGGACATACTCTAATGTGTCCAGATGAACTTCTAAATTGAAAGCTCTCAACCCTTTTTTGAGAAGTAAATTGAAATGTAAAGACTTATCTCTACACTCTGCAACAACTAGCTGGTGCTGTTGCCTTCAGTCTTGCCCATCCTTTGAGGTTCACAATCATTGACTTTAATCTGCTGTATGAAACATTTGACAAGTGGGTACTGCCATTTATGGATGATTGTAAATTAATGGATGATTTAATTGTGACTCTTTGGTGTCACTCAGAATCTTTGTAAATTCTTGCACAATAAAGAACTCCAGGGGTTTAAATGTTACAATTTTATTTACAATAAATGATAACTCCTGAAGAGCTTTTGGGGTTTGATCAGGTTTTTTTGAGCCAAAGTAGCTTGCTTTACCCATGTATACGTGGATTGGTGACTCAGAAGAAGTGGCTTGCAGTCTCTGGCCCTACTTGTTAAGAGTAGACCATGTACTCACTTTCAGGCCTGGGCTTCATTTAAGTTATCTATCTATGAGTTCAAGAGTGTGAAAAATCCACACCCAAGTGCTATAACTATGTCATTGTAGTCCCAGGTGTAGACATGGTATGTCAACAGAAGAATTCTTCCATCAACATCACTACAATTGCTCTGGGATGTGGAGTTCCTATATCAGCATAAACCCTTTCCATTGCTGTAGGCTACATCTGTGCTATGGGGCTTTGCTGACATAGCTACATGGTGTAGGTATGCAGCTCTGTGCAGACATGGCCTTAAACCAGTAGAAGTTCACTGCCAGTGCACAAAATCTACCACTGCAGAAATTAGCACTAGGTCATGGTCTGCAAATATAGATCTGCCTAGCTGTGTTGGTCAGGATTATGAAAATGTACATCCCTAAGGCCCGTTGTTAAACCAACTTGACACCTAGTGTAGATGAGACTAGTCAATGGAAGAATTCTGCTGACTTTGCTACTGCCAGTTAGAGAGGTGGATTACCTACAGTGATGGAAACACCCCATCTATTGTAGCACCAATAGTGTAGTGTAGACATTCCCAGATTCATTAATAGCTTCCTCAGTGTACAGATAGGGAACTGGAAAGAGCTCTAGGTTTTCATTCTTCAGCTACGGTAAAGCACTGAAGGAAGAAGAGGTCACATAAAAATCGTTTCTAACTCATCTCCCAAAACAGAGCATGTGCACTGGGTTTGATGTTAGAACTCCTCTGGCTTGTCCTTTAAGTTCCATCAGTAAAGGTGGATGTACTTTGATACACTTGGAGAAACAGAATTCCCTCTCCAAATTTCAAGTGTTCTTATCATAGTAGGTATATACACAGTTAGGACTGTTTCATGTCAAGAGGGCTAGGAAGTGAAATATCTCTGACAGGAGCATCTAATTTCCTCAAGGGTTCTCAGAGCACTAATGTTAATTTCCTATATGCAAATGTATAGGTACATGGTACAGTGCCATGCTTAGCCTGTGGAAGCAATGGGCAGGGTAGGAAGGATTGGGCGGTCTTAGGCACTGGTTTCAAGATTTGGGTGATAACATCCTACGACTCAAGGAAAGGCATCAGACAAAGATGTGCCCTAGAGTCCCAGAGCTAGGACCATTGACTAGGCACTGTCTAGATCCAGTTGACTAGGGATCATGTGGAACCCAGTAACTGGGTCCACTCACAACAGGTCAGGTGGATCAGTTTGTAACAACCCTGAGCCTGCCACCCTTTGTGGCTGCAAAGGAGAGTGAGTCACAGCAAAAAACAACAAACAGCAATTTGGTTGGAGTGAGAAAGGGATTTAAAAACCTTGTTCTAGAAGAGAAGAGTGAGTGGGGCCTGCAGACATCAGGTGCTTGTTTCTAATTCACCTGGCTGCATGTCCTCATCCAAATCACTTCACCTCTGTTTTTCCCTGTGGAGGATAACATACTTCAGACAGGGGTGTGGTAGGGATTCATTAATACTTGCACTCAGAAATGTCACGTTATCAGACATTCAAGTGAAAAGTCCTGTCAAATCTGTTTAAAGCATTTGTCTAGCGAAAGCCTTTGGGGTAGATGGACGAAGCCTCCCACTCACTTCAGTGGCCTTTGGATCAACCTAAAATTGTTCTACATCAAATGGGTTAAGAAATGCCATAACTGAGCACTCTGTAGAAAATGCTTCTAGGAGAGCCTGGCAATTACAGGCTGGTAAGCCCACCCTCCGTACTGAGCAAACTGCGTGAAACTACAGTAAAAAGGCACCAAGATTAACGCAGTATGTTGGGGGAAGAGTCAATATGGCTTTTGTAAAGCGGAATCAGGCCGCCAACACCCTAGCCCTCTGTTCAGCCCTGAGCCCCCTTCAGCACCAACATTGTCTGTGTGTGGAATAATGTGATTCACTATCAGAGGGGCAGTCGTGTTAGTCTGAATCTGCAAAAGCGACAAGGAGTCCTCTGGCACCTTATAGACTAACAGATGTATTGGAGCATATGCTTTCATGGGCAAAATAATAGTAATATACAAAAACCTGTAGGAGAAAACTTCAATCTCCCTGGACACACAGTACAGATTTAAAGGTAGCCATCCTGCAACAAAAAAACTTCAAGAACAGACTTCAAAGAGAAACTGTTGAGCTACAGTTCATCTGCCAATTTGACACTATCATTTTAGGATTAAACAAAGACTGAATGGCTAGCCAACTACAAAAGCAGTTTCTCCTCTCTTGGGCCGTGTCCAGACTCAGGGGTTTTTTCGGGAAAAGGCTACTTTTCCCGAAAAAACTTCCCCTGCGTCCAGACTCAAGCCGCGGTCTTTCGAAATTATTTCGAAAAAACGCGGCTTTTCTTTCGATGGCGGTAAACCTCAATTTACGAGGAAGAACGCCTTCTTTCGAAAGAGGCTCTTTCGAAAGCATCTTTCGAAAGAGCCTCTTTCGAAAGCATCTTTCGAAAGAGCCTCTTTCGAAAGCATCTTTCGAAAGAGCCTCTTTCGAAAGCATCTTTCGAAAGAGCCTCTTTCGAAAGCATCTTTCGAAAGAGCCTCTTTCGAAAGCATCTTTCGAAAGAGCCTCTTTCGAAAGCATCTTTCGAAAGAGCCTCTTTCGAAAGAAGCCTGCAGTCTAGATCTAGCCTTGGTGTTCAAACTTCCACATCAGCTGCTAGAAGTGGGCCTCATCCTACCAGACTGAACTGACCTCATTCTCTCCAGCCTTACTCTTGATTGGTTCTTTTTTCTTATGCCTGTATATTTATGCCTGCCTCTGGGATTTCCACTACATGCATCTGATGAAGTGGGTCTTTGCCCACGAAAGCTTATGCTCCCATAAATCTGTTAGTCTATAACGTGCCACAGGACTCCTTGTTGCTTCTGTGATTCACTATGAGCTCCAATGTGGAGGTGATGAGTCAGTCATTCCACACCTGGACGTAGAACTCTGATCACGAGCAGATTCCTATCATGATATGACCATCTGCTTTTAGTCTTGTCTTCAAGTTTATTTCCTATTTCCATCTCAACCTCAGTCTAAATGTGTGCATTTTATATGTAAAGCAACACCTCTTCCCTTTTACCCTGCCTGTCCTTCCTGCACAAACTGTACCCTTCTATCCCAATATTCCAGTTGTGTGTATTAGCCCACCAACTCAGACCTTGCAGCAACCTCTGACTGCCAGAAACCAGGCAAAGACAACAAGGATCACTCCAGCTGTCCTGTTCTGTACCCACTGATGCGCTGGTACTAGCCACTGTCAGGCACTGGATAGCTGAACCATTGGTTCTAACCCAGTTTGGCTGTTCCTATATGCTTCTACAATGATGTATGCTTCTACATGTAGCTGTTGAAATGTCAGTGAAATCATTGGGCTAAATTGCACTGGAATGCAATTCTGAATATGAAAAAAATGCTCTGTGATGGGAGCTCTATTAGGACTTGGAGTGCTAGCTAATAGGAATACCGATACCAGCTGATCTAACTTGGAAATGTTTAGCTGGCCACAGGAGCATTTCTTTTTTTCTAGATGCAAACTGCAAATCAAAGGAATTGGATTTGTTCAAGCCCTTCTATGATATCTCTAATCAAACTTGTGTTAATAGAAAACATCTCCCTCCTGTGGACTTCAAACTTCATCTCCTCTTTGGACCATTAGTTTAAAAGAAAAAAACCTGTGCTGCTGAAATGAATCGTCTTACCTTGCCCTTTACAAATGCCTTGGGGGGAAAAATGAAACCTTCCACGTTTTAACTTTCTGCTGCAATCAGTGCAGTCTCATTAACTATTAAATTAAAACAGCTTAATATGCTTTTGAAATCAGTAGCTAAAACACCTCCATTTGTCTTTCTTTTTAAATTGAAGATTATATGAAATTGCAGCAATTATGTCTCGGATTTGTAATTGAAGAGCCAACCTGGCATTACAGGCACTGAAGCATTCAGCCTGCAGCATGTTTCCATAAGAGGCTTTCGCATCAAATGAACAGTATCTCATTCTAGTGCTTGGCTGAAGTTGTTTTAGTGATTCATTTCCAGGCAAGGTCTGGAGGACAGTTCTTTGAACCTGTTTACAGCTTAGTGCCCACACAAAACTTTACTGCAATCTTGCTCCTGGAGGCATTTTCTTTATTTTAAAAGAAAGTGCTAGTTTCCTGAGTTTCTGCACAAAGGTATATGTGTTGGAAGAAGGCCCTGGAAAAAGCAGACATACTTTCACATGCATTAAATGTTGTGATATATGCTTAGTTGACAGGTTAGTGCAATTTTAAATGCATCTAATGCCTCTGTAGGAAATGTCTGTATCAAATTATGAGTTTCAGTTTACAGTATGTGTTGACCGTGTCTAATCAAGTGCCTTGAATTGCATTCTAACCTAGGAAAGAAGCTTGACATTTTATTGAAAGACTATAACTAGGAACCCATTGACTGCAGTTAGGGAGTATTGACTAGGTGGAGTATCAGCTAATGGCTGACAATGGTTTTTCTACATAGGGGTCTGCAGTGGAGCAAACAGGAGGAGGAGGAGGAAACTGGCATGTCCTGCTGAGGCTCTTAGGCCATGTATACACTAAGGCTACGTCTAGACTACATGGCTCCGTCGACGGAGCCA